GTCCCAGGCCACGGCCCGCAAGCGCCGCGCGCCCAGGGCGGCTCCGCGCCTGTTCCCCGCAGTGCGGGCGGGCCCGGCACACACAAGATGCAGTGGCGCCGACCAAATGAGAGCGAGTGGAGGGGGGGACCAGGCAGAGGAGTGCGAACCCAGCCTGGCGCCAGTGCAGAGTCCCGGGGCGAGTGCACTTGGGGTCCGGGTGGGTTGCAGGACCGGACCTTTCCGGAGAGTGGGAACCGAGGGTCTTTCGGCCTCTTACCGAACCTTCCTTCCACTGAGCTCTATCACCATCACCCCAGTTCGCTCCAGATGCCCAGTACGGAAGAGAGAGAGGCGTTGTGGGCCACCCTGCAAACTCTAGCTGGAGCCAGGAACCTAGTGGAGGACCACAGCTTGCACTGGGGCCAGACTTGGCTCCAGGGCCAGACTTGGCTCTCCTGGGCTCCCTGCACAGTAGTACTGACTTGTCTTGGCCATCTATGCACGGTCCCCCATTCCTCCTCAACTCTGCTTCCAATAGGCAGGCAGCAACCCGGTCCCCCACAGCTCCCCCCCACCCCCACCCCGCACTGAGATTGTAGCCAGGGCCTTACACTCAGGCTTGGCAACGGTTTCACAGCAGCGAGTGAGTTCAATCCTCTTTGCTACTCTATATTTTGAGACTAAGTTCCGCAGGCTGACCTTGGACTCGGTCTGTAGCCCAAGCAGACCTTGAGTTTGAACCATCGATCCTTCTTTCTACCTCAGCCTCCCAGTGCTGAGGTGGCAGGTGTGAGCCAGTACTCTTGGATTGTTTATTGTTTTCTAAGACGAAATCTCACAGAGTAGCTGAGGCTGGCCTGAAATCTTTTATATGGCCCTGGCTAGTCTTGAACTCAGGATATTTTTGCCTTTGGCTCCAGACTGCTGGTATTACAGGCATGCATCACCATGCCTGGCTTTTCAGAAGGTTTCCGCAGAACTCCTATCACGTCTCACTAACATAAGTTGATCACGTTCACGTTGAAGCCAGTCCATTGCCAAGACCAATCAGAAATGTGAACAAAATCCAAAGGACTCGAGAAAATGGCCTTGGGTGTTTGTGGTGTCACCTTACCTTTGCAGAGCTGGAGTTCTTAAGAGGACCAGCAGGGCAGGTAGATTTACCTTCTCTTACCGTGGGGAAGGTAGGAACAAGTAAACCTTCTGACCCAGGAGTCCAAGTCAACAGCAGAGGCAGAGGTGGCCGACACACTGCGAATATACATAAATAATCAGCTGGAAGTCTGGGTCTAGGTCACCCAACCCAAAGAAAGTTGGTGGTCAGAAGTTCATCTCTAGGCAGAAAGAAGTCCAAATAACTCCCACGGAGGAGAAGAAAAGCCTTCAAGAAAAGGCTTATACGGTCTGACATCACATTGAGGTCCTTGGAGGAAGCCCGTATTTACTGAAAGCCTGCTCCCACCACGGTGAAACAGGAGTTATCAAAGCAGTCCCTTGCTTTCAGATAGCAAGGGAATCTGAAAACAAGAATAGGCAATTGAGGTGGTTCAGTGGGTAGAGGTGCTTGCTGCCAAGCCTGATGATCTGAGTTCGAATTCAGGGACCCACATGATGGAAGGAGCGGACTGAGTTCCACAGGTATCCTTGACTCCACATTCATGTCACTGTGCATGCACACCCCACCCCCATGACACACACGTAAGTAAATAAATGTAATTTTTAAAAATCTAGCAAACAGAAGAGAGTCCATGAAAGGACATGGACGCACTGTTGCTTA